TAAGGCCAAGGTGGTTAAAGGCAGGTGCCCGAAAGGATATCACCAGTGCTGGAAAGTAGGATGCAATAAGAATCACCCGTACAGTGAGTGCACGCATGGCATGCAGTGAGATGGCCAATCAGGGGATGGGCCAGCTCCTGAGGCAGTCCCCTTGGCCCAACGTGCAAGCCGAGCTCCGAGCTCGGAGTGTTTCGCAAAGAAACTTAATTCAGTCGATGCGCCACCATCCCGCCTTGATCTGCAAAAGTTGCATGAACATCTCGTTGCGGATGGATTTCTACGCCCCGACGCCAGGACTCAGCAACCGAATTTTGGAGTTGGGGCTTTTTCTCAGGGAGGGCTTCAGGGTCTGCGTGGAGAGTGTAAGAGCTGTCCACAAACGACCAAAGCCATCACAGCTTTTGTCCGAGCTCAGCTCCCAGACCTTTTCTTTACTACAGTTTTCCTGTTTTGCAATTCCGGTACGTCAATGCATGTTGATTCCAAGAATCATAAGTCCCCCACAGGTGTCATTCCGATCGGATCGTTCACGGGAGGCCACATCTGGGCCCAGTGCGAACAGGGTTCGGAACTCCGTCCTATCAACGGCAAACCGACTCCTGGCGAGCTGCTTGATGTGTCCGCTGGACCCATCACCTTTGAGGCTTACTCCCGAAGCCACTGCACTGAACCATGGCAAGGCCACAGGCTGATTGCTGTGGCCTTTTGCGTCTCGGATCTGTCAAAGCTCACCCTTGAAGCGGCACATTCCCTCTTGTCCTTAGGGTTTAGGCCCCCGACCTCCTTGGGTTTCCCGCTACAGATCGCCGAGCAAACGCAGCCCCCACGACCTGATGAGCCGTGGATCTTCGAAATCTTTTCAGGCACCGGGGGTTTCGCTCGAGCTTGCCTTCGGAAGGGATTCAAAGTCCTCGCCTTTGACGCTAAGCTTGCTGGGGCAATGGTCCCCACGGCCAATCTGGACTTCTCCACGGAAGCAGGCCGTGAAGTCTTCATGTCAATGCTGAAGCAGTGCAAGCCTTTTCACGTTCACCTGGGTGTGCCTGCAGGTTCTGCATCAGCCTCTCGGCGCCAAGCTTCAAAGCCCGGTCGTAGACTCCAGGGCCCCCAAGTTACCAAGCTCCGAACGTCGGAACACTGCTTAGGTGTGCCCACCATCCGGTGGTCCTGTGCCGAAGGCATAAAACTTAGGAAGGAAAATGCCCTTTTTCGCTTCTGCTTCGATGTCGTTTGCTTCTGCCTTGAAGCAAACATTTCGGTAAGTGTCGAAAACCCGGCAAATTCTTTGCTGTGGCACATTTTGCAGCGCTTCGCATCTCAGGCTGGCATCAGGTGGCCACCCAGCAAGCTTGAGCAAGTCACCTTTGCCATGTGCGCGCATGGGGGCGATCGCCCTAAGCAATGCAAACTTTTGGCCTCCAAAGGCTTGTTTTCTCCTTTGGCAGCGAAGTGTAGCCAGGATCATGAGCATGCATCCTGGTGGTCGTCGTCCCGCCTCAGTGCGTGCTATCCGCCTTTGCTGTGCACCCGCATGGCCGATTGTGTTGCTCGCTGCGCCTCTGAGTCCAGCCGGACTCTTTCACCAGCAACTGACTTCCACGCTGCAGCTCTGGCCGCGGCCGCCAAGCAAAGCCATCGCCATGCGCCACTCATTCCGGAGTTTCACAAGGTCACTTGGGAAACTCCTGAATTTAAACCTGACAAGTCTTGCAAGATCCTCCTGACCCACGCTGCAGGGGACAGTGGTGGGGGTCTAACTTCGGATCCAGCGGGCTCTAGACCTGTTAAGGTAGGTCACTGGCTTGACATGAGTCAACATGTCTCCAAAGCCCACACTTTGCAACACCCGGTGGACAAAGCGATTGCTGCTGGCCCGGAAGTGTTGGAAGCGGTCGACTTTTGCATGACCCATGATTCTGCCAAGGCCAACCAGCTTAGGAAGCTAGAACTCCTTAAAGTTAAGCTCCTCGCCAAGACCCTGGAAGAAGACGAGCGGAAACTTCATGCATCCTTCCCGCCGTGGTTCGAGAAGGTGATCAAAGGCAAAAGGATTTGTCTGTGGGAGTCTCTTTTGAGGAATCATGGTTTTGACGACATGGGGGTAGTGGATCTGATGAAAAAGGGGGTGCCTCTCGTAGGGACTTCGGAAAAGCCAGAGTGCTTCAAGACAAAGGTGGCTATGGCTTCCATGTCTGAATCAGAACTCCGTGCTACTGCCTCCTTGCGACGTCGTGCAGCCTTGTCGAGACCGAACCGTGCGACCCCTGAGGAAATTTCTCTTCTTCAGGAGGCCTCTAACTCCGAGGTTGCTGAAAATTTCATCGAGGGGCCCTACACTGAAGCACAGGTCACTCAGATCTTCGGCCATTCGGATTGGGGCGTAATTCCTAGATTTGTTCTTGAGCAAGGCCTTGAAAAGAAGGTTCGACCCATAGATGATGGGCACGCTTCCCAGGTCAACGAAGCTTTCACTTCCCTGATCAAGCTGGAGCTTCAAGGAGCCGACTTTGTTTCAGGCCTAGCTCTGCTGATTGCCCGGGCTGAAAAGGAACGCTCAGATCGCCTGGGTGTCCCTGCTAGGCAATGGCTAGGGCGGACCCTCGACCTTTCGAAAGCGTACAAGCAATTAGCGGTACTACCGCTGCACCGTGACATTGCCGTAATCTGCCATCCCAATGAGAAGGGGGAACCACAATTCTTTGTTGCAAACGCATTGATGTTTGGCTTGACTTCGTCGGTGTATGGATTCGTGAGGGTGGCCCGAAGCCTGCATTTCTTGCTGTGCAAAGTGCTGAAGATCCCCTCAGCAAACTACTTCGACGATTATCCTCTCTTCGCTTTGAGAGAGGGTGCCCAGGAACTTGACGGTTTGACTTCGGAATTCTTGGAACTCTTGGGGTGGCGCTTTGCCCAGACCGGGATAAAGGGTCAACCGTATGAAGAAACCTTCACGGTACTCGGAATGCAGCTGGACGTCAGCCGCCTCCACGAGGGTGTTGCGGTACTAGCCAACAAAGAAGGCCGTGTCAAGCGCATTGCCGAAATGCTTGGTAACATCTTTGACCGAGGTACCCTTGGCAGGCATGAGGCACAGGTGCTCCTGGGACTTTTAAACTACGCCTCTGGATTCTTCGCGGGCCGATCCCTAAAGCCGGCATGCCACTTCCTGCTATCCTTGGTTCGTGGGAAACGCCCGACTGCTGCCGAAATACAGCGCTTCTGCAAAACCACCCAGGCTGTCTTGAGCACCACGCCGCCGAGAATCCTTCGCATCTTTGACCCGCGACCGCCCATCCATGTTTGGACGGACGGTGCTTGGGAAGACCCTTGGGCTGGAATAGGTGCGGTTGTTTTAGACACGCTAGACGATAGCGCTAGGGTTTTTGCTGGTTGTGTGCCCACTAAGCTTTTGGAGCGATGGAAGCTGGATGTGGGATCACAGCTTATATGCGAAATCGAACTCTACGCCTTAGTCACTTTGCGTCGTATGCTCCAAAACAGCCTGTGCAACCGAAGAGTCATCTTCTGGCTGGACAACGAAGCTGCACGCACATCAGCAATCAAAGGTTTGAGCAAGAGCGAATCCATGTATCGCTTAGCCCACTATCTTGCAGTGATTGAGGCTGAGGCTCCTTGCGTTGCATGGTACGAGAGAGTGCCATCCTTTTCAAACTTGGCCGACCCTCCCTCACGAGGTGATGGGCAAAGCATACTCAGCTTGGTAGGCGCCAAGGTTGTAGAAGCTTTCATCCATGATGAGAGTTCTAACCAGAGATTTCTTCATCAGGGGTTCGCGTGATGTCAGGGGCATTCGGGACGCTGCCCTCCTTGATCTTGAAAAATCTCAGCTTGCCAAACCCGTGATGCTCGAACATCGGTTTGGCCGGAGCTGTGGGGGCTCCCGAATTAGAATTCACCCCAGATCACCGTGCGAATAAAAAGAGTGTGGCGCGACAACTCCTTGGATCCTCCTTTTATATATTGTGAGGATCTGATACTTCATACTTTTGGTATTGAAATATATTCCATTATTATTTGAAGGATTCTGTCTTATATGATTGATGTCCGTGATATTTGATATCACTCAACCTTTTTGTAAAACATCAGGTTTCTGAAAGAAGAACATTTTCTGCTTGCAGACTTTTCTTTCTTTTGGAAACTTGACAGGCAGTGAAGCTGCCGTGTTTTACATCGGAGGTTTTTGGAAAACATTTCTTGCATGAACCTCATTTCTTTGACATGGCAGATCGGAGATCTCTATCTTTCCCGCGAGTCTGCTCAAAGTGAGAGGCAAGAAATTTTTCTTTTCCCACCCTCCCACCCAATGCGGACGGGGGGGGCATTCGGGACGCTGCCCTCCTTGATCTTGAAAAATCTCAGCTTGCCAAACCCGTGATGCTCGAACATCGGTTTGGCCGGAGCTGTGGGGGCTCCCGAATTAGAATTCACCCCAGATCACCGTGCGAATAAAAAGAGTGTGGCGCGACAACTCCTTGGATCCTCCTTTTATATATTGTGAGGATCTGATACTTCATACTTTTGGTATTGAAATATATTCCATTATTATTTGAAGGATTCTGTCTTCTATGATTGATGTCCGTGATATTTGATATCACTCAACCTTTTTGTAAAACATCAGGTTTCTGAAAGAAAGCGTGTGCTGCGTATGAAAACGTTCTCGACGTGTGGATGCGACTGTGTGCAGTCTGATATGCCCATGCTGTGTGCAGCATGTGCTTCATGAGTGAATGCACTGTCTAGCTGGGGTCTTACTGTGCTTGGGCAATGGTCAGCACCAGTTCATGAGCTTTGTGAATGCACCAGTTATGGCTGAGGCCTACGGTAGACATGTCATGTCCATGCTATCGTTTGTTCACTTGTGTTTAGACAGCTTTGTGTGTGTTCGGACAAGGGAGCTTGCATCTTCTCTCTCGATCAGGCCAGGACGCTTGTTGACAAATTGTACTTCTCAGCGGTGTAGAGATTGGTGACCTTGCGGGATGGCGGCGGTTTCAATTCTTACTTCGGCTGCAGCTTTCGACAAGCAATGTGAAAGAGTGGGTTTGGCAGCAGAGTGGATCGCCGCCATGCAAGCTTCAGGCATCACGACACTGGGTAAGTTGAGCTATGCAGTTTCGCTTCCAGGGACGCAACCCACAGCTGACGAGATGGATAACTTCACTGCAACATTGAGGCCCGGTGCGAGAGTCACTTTGGGTGACAGCTCCGCGATAAAACAGCTTATCTTCGAAGCTCAGACCATGACGGTTGCTGAGCTCCGAGCTACCATGCAGTCCAGTGACGAGGTGTCCTGGAAGCTTCCGGCGTCGGAGCGCTCAATGCGCATCGAAGATCAGAAGCAACGCCTTAAGGGTCTCCCGTTGGAGGGCCCTTTGTCCGTAGCCCACTGCGTGTATGACAAGCTCGCAAACATGCGCGAGAACGACGAGCTGAAATACCTCTCCCCCGGTGAGTGCATCACCCGTGATGCGGAGCTTTGCTGTGAGAAGCCTCCCAAAGCCTTGCAGCTCGATGCTAACAAAATGGGCATTGTGGTGAAGGATGAGGAAGCCCTGGCCACCATGTCGGTCGACAGCGATTTGCAGCTTTATCAGGCCATGATGAGACGGGCACTGGCCATGGACCTTGTTGGCTTGGCTTCTTATGATATGGTGCAGAAGTGGAATGAACGGCTCTTTCGCATTATGAGCCAGGACCCACCACCGGAGTTCCAGAAGGTCTCGAGAGCACAGGTGCTGAGGGCAGACCGGCAATGCTTTCTGGAGCTTGCTCGCACGTGCAATGGGAATCTGAAGCCTGACGCAAAAGGCGTGCTCCCGCTCGACAAAGAGTTTGAGAAGCTGGAGTACAACCAATCGGTCATGTACTTTCTGCTACCTGTCAAAGGTAAGGGCAAGGGCTCCGGCAAGCCCGGCGACAAAGGCAATGGAAGGAAGCGCACTCAGGACACAACAGGTGATGGCAAAAACAAGAAGTTGAAGATTACCCGCGACCCGATACCAGATGCCTTGAAGGGTATGCACTCGCGGACGCCCGACAACAAACCCATCTGTTTCAACTTTAATCTTGGAAAGTGCAAGGCAGGTGCGAAGTGCAAGTTCAAGCATGTGTGTTGCAAGCCGGGCTGTTACAAATCGCATCCCATGTCCGAGCATGAGTCGGCCACTTCTGAGTGACATGCAGTGTGCACAGGTGACCTCATTGCGCATGTTGTTCCCGAAGAGTGTGAGGCACCTGTGCAACAACAGAGCCAGCCGTCAGACGACGGCAAATTTTGCAGTGCAAGCGCATTTTGCGTTGAAGTTTTTGCTCGTCGTGCCTGCTTGTGTGGTTGTCTCCGAATGGGGTTGCCAAACTCCTTTGCAGTTGGCAAGGGTTGCTCACAGGCAGCTGCGGCACCGATCGTTCCAATGGATATTCTGTCTCCGGGTGGCCTGGCCCTTTGTGCGTCATGGGCCCGCGAACCCTCATGTGCTTGGGTGCATATCAGGTGCCCGCGTTCTATCTTTCCAAATCGTCAGAAATCTTCGCATCCTTCTTGTGACGATGCTGACCGGTGTGTGTACACAATCTCTCAGCTTTTGAAACACTGCAATGATACTGGGACGCCTTGGACAGTGGAAGCTGCCTCGAGGTCATCGTTCTGGACAACAGACTTCGGTAAGAGCTTACTGGAATCATCGGTCGACATCGACCTTAAAGCCTTTGGCTCTCCAACACCGGGTTGCATTCGATTTGCATCCTCCATGCCACTCGTCCTTCGGTCCTGTGCAAGCTTAGCGGCTGCCAGTCGCCAAAAGCCTTCCACAGACATTGCGCTGGGGCAGCTCTACCGTGCGCTTGCATCGGTCATGCTTGAGCATCTGCATGTTCGCACCCCGCCAGTGCCACCACTTGCTGCAGCTCAGGTTGCTACAGGGATGCAACCGCGCCGGTTCCCTCTGGCCCCAGTTCCAGAGTTTAAGCGTTTTGTGCAAGTTGCCGTGCCGCAATGTCCACCTCTGGGCCTCTGGACTCCAAAAACCGGCTGCTGACCACTCTTCGCGTGCAGGACACTGTTGTGCCTGCTGGTTCCAAGCTTGTGCCGCCTCTTTCTCAACTGGCTGCCGATCGTGTAGAAGGGGGAGGTTTGATCTGCAACCAGGTGCACCGCGCTTCGCAGGTTGATGCATCGCTCGACGAACACAATCCAGATGCCTCGGACATGTCAGGTGGTGTGCAGCAGGCAGCACCCCCTCCTTGTGGTTTCGCCGGTGCCCTCCCTTCCTCTTCGGGTCTAGTGGGTGCTGCCGGTGATAGTGTTCATCCCTCTTGCGATACCGATACAACCCCTTGCGTGCAATCTGATGGGCGAGCAGCACCTCCTGGTTGTGGTTCTCCCGCCTTCCTTTCTTCCCCTTCGGGTTTAGACGGTGCTGCTCCCTTAGCTTTAAGCCCTACATGTTCAGGCTCGCTGCTATGTGCGACCGAGTGTGAAGCAGAGATGCTGGCCTCGAATCTTGATGCTAGGGTGGATGCCAGCAGCCTTGTCAGTATCTTCGAGGCCCTACCAGCCGAAGTGCCAGCACGTGGTGTTGATGATGCTCGTGAGAAAGCTTGGACTGCGGGAGCTTATTCCCAGAACAAGCTATGTGGTCTGCGGAAGCATACCAGAGCTTTCCCTCGTGTTGTCTCTGCTGCTGTCAGGTACTTGCGTGGATGTTTCCCAGGTGCGTGCTTCGCGACGATTGCCTTTTATTCCAACGTTTGCACTCCGATGCACAGGGATTCGAATAACTTGGAAGGCACACTGAACTACGTTGCTCCCCTCCTTTCAAAGATGGAGGCATTTGGGTGCAAGATGACGAGGGCAATCATTCCCGGATGACACCATGCGGCCAATCCAGAGGCCGTGTCCTGCAAGTTTGCGAGGGCCCCGTGCATTTTGATGCACACCGCTTTCATTGCACAATGCCCACAATGCCCTGGCTTGGATCAAGAATCGTCTTGATCGGCTTCACTCCGAGAAATCTTTCGTCGCTGAAACAGGGTGACACTAGGCTTCTTCTTGACCTGGGCTTTCCGCTGCCAGGTCACAGCCCATCGATCCTGCCAGCCATTGCACCGCCTCAGGTCGAGATGGCTAACGACCCACAGGTTGGTCCTGCCGAGGAGCGGGATCGAGGGACGTGTACCGTGACGTTTGGGGTGTATCATACTGAAAGCGAGTTCGTGCGTGCAGCCGTGAAGGCGGGTCACCCTAAAGCGATGATCGACTCGTTGCCAGCACATCTTGAGTCTTGCATAGATCTGTTGGCGAAGGCCCCACCGAGTGCCATCGTCCAGCGACGCAGGCAGTGGTTGGATAAGTGGACTGCCCGCGCTGCTGAGATAGGTGTGCGTCCTGACCCTATTTGGGAAGTCGAAGACCCGCGCATGAGAGAGGTGCTGCGAAGCAAGCGTCTACAGCTGTTGGATGAGATTATCGCGAGCGAGGGCTATGAGGATGTGAGCTTGGCTAGTGACATAAGATCAGGTTTCGACCTTGTGGGGACATCGCCGGTGTCGAACGTGCTGCCTGGGAAAGTGTCTCCAGCATCCCTCCACCCTGACGATGTCAGTGCTGCCGCAGGCCGCGCAAATGAAGCCCTTCGGATATCGCTCGGTTCATCGGGTGATCATGCCACCGACTTGAAGTTGTGGGAAAAGACGATGCAGGAGGTAGAAAGGGACTGGCTCGTGGGCCCATATGGTTGGGATGACTTGCCCGACGGGTATGTCGTTTCGCATCGTTTCCCTTTGTGGCAGCACGACAAGCTGCGGCCCATTGACGACTACAGCCGTAGCGGGGTGAATGCATGCGTTACCACGCTAGAGCAGCCCACAGTAGACACTGCAGATGTGGCGGCTGCCATGTTTGCCAAACTGTGCGAGGGACTCGGAAAGGCCAAGCGACCCTCTTGGATCAAAGGCCGTTCTTTCGACTTGACCGCTGCATATCGGCAGCTTTGTGTTTCCACTGCCTCCAGAAAGTTTGCCGTGATTGCCGTTTACAACCCTCACACGGGGAAGACATGCCTCTTCACACAAATTTGCCTCCCGTTCGGTTCCCGAGCATCGGTCAACGGCTTTATCAGGTGCTCTCGGTGCATCCAATGGTTAGCGACGCGCTGCCTCCTTGTGCCCACGACTTCATATTACGACGACTTCATAGTCGCGTCGCCCGACTGCCTAGCAGACAACACCGGAAGCACGATGGAGCTTCTGTTCCAGTTGTTAGGGTGGGTATTTGACACAGTGGGCCCGAAAGCCGACACCTTCTCTCGAGAAGTTTCGGCTCTTGGATTGCACTTCGACTTGTCTGAGAGCGGGGATGGTGTCATCACGGTGGACAACACCGAGAAGAGGAAGAAGGACATCCATGCTTTGGTTTCAGACGTGCTCGTCGAGGGCCATCTCTCTTATAAGGGTGGCATGGAGTTGCGTGGCAAACTTGCTTTTGCAAACTCGCAGGTTATGGGTAAAGCCGGGCATTACGCCCTCAAGCACGTCAGCGCACACGTGCATGCATACCCTTTTGTACCAAAGTTGAGTGCTGCCACGGCCGATGCCTTGAGCTTTCTGATGGCTCGCATACTTGAAGGACAGCCCAGAAGGATTCATAAGCCGCTAGGCCTGCCATGGTTCGCGTACACCGATGCGAGTTTTGAGCCTGACTATACCGGAGGTTTAGGTGGCGTGTTGATCTCGCCTTCGGGTTCCGTAGTTGGGTGGTTTTCACTGCTCCTGAAGAGCACCGACGCTCGCCCTTTGCTGCCCTTGAAAGCGGAGACAGGCATCGGCGAGCTGGAAGCGATTGCGGTTGTACTCGCATTCCAGTTGTGGGAGGAACACTTGAAGTCCACCGAATGTGTGGCGTACCTTGACAATGAAGGTGCCCGGATTTCGCTGATCAAAGGCTGCTCATCGTCTTGGTCTATCACGCGGATCTGTCATATCTTCGCTAAGACTTGTGAATCGCACACAGTGCTACCCTGGCTGGCACGTGTCCCGTCGTGCAGCAATGTGGCAGACCACCCCAGTAGAGGTAAGGACAGTAGTGTGCTTCCTCGTAGTCGTGCAGCTACAGAGCCGAGCGTGAGAGCTCTTTTCGACAACTTGGTGCAGTCCATCATAACCCTTTCCTAACCGTCATCTCCTTGAGTGGGGTGGGTGAGTGATGACGGTGTGCCGATCATCTTGTCGGATGTGTGCATCCATGCTGGTGTGTGCACCTTTCCTTAGCTGCGTACTCACCGAACACACCCCGCTTTGGATTGAAAAAGAAGGAGTCCGACTGCCGAGCTTTGTTGCACTTGCTATGTGTATGCCTTACCTGAATAGTTGGAAATAAATAAGCCTTCTCGCTTGCGAGACAGCATTTTATTTCCCAAACTATTCTCTGTCGGTGTCGCCTTTGCTGTTTTCTATTTTGCAGACTACCGGCGACATGTTTGCATGACTTGAAGCATGTGTCGTTTGACGACTTGCTCAACATTCATGTTTGATGTTGCAGTTTTGGCTGTGTGCAGCTTGGGAGAAATTTTTGTCCCGCCCGCCCTCCCTTGGGGTGGGTGAGTGATGACGGTGTGCCGATCATCTTGTCGGATGTGTGCATCCATGCTCGTGTGTGCACCTTTCCTTAGCTGCGTACTCACCGAACACACCCCGCTTTGGATTGAAAAAGAAGGAGTCCGACTGCCGAGCTTTGTTGCACTTGCTATGTGTATGCCTTACCTGAATAGTTGGAAATAATTTCTTGATTTACCTGTCAAGAAAGCCGCGCGGATCTTCATTGCCCTTCCGCAATCCTCTGATGCCACCAGGGTGCAGGAGTGCAAATCTGAGCTTGGCGAAGAGCGTTTAGCTGGTGAGCCAATCGTCGTGGACAGTGAGTCCGACCCGGGTGTCTCCCCCTTGCGGTTCCGGTAGGGTTTGATGTCTGGAGACATGAATCATCAAAGGTAGCCCACCTTGCTCCTAAAGTTCACTTCAAGAATTTGTTTTCCTGTGGGCGGAAGGTGGGTTCCCGACATGTTAAGCAAACAAATGCACATACATCGCTTTCAGGTCCGAACCAAAACTTGCACAGGCCATTGACTCGGGAATACAGCCGACGCAAGACAACGATCACAGGCCATGCACTTGGCTCCAATGGTCTTTGCACAGCGTTCCTGGACTCCCAAAGTCGCCCTTGCACGGTTCTCCTCCACCTGCAATCACTCACCTTGTGGACTCAAGGAGGCAGACCTCCCGACTCGCCACCAAGGGAATGGACTGCTGGGGCGCGAAGATCCAACAGATTCCTCTTTCGCACTTGCAGTCGAAGGTCTATCAGCGGAAACACTCACGGTGTACGAAACGGAGTGTCTTCAGGACGTAACTGATTGAGTCGGTCTCGAGCTTGGAAACCCATGGCGCTGATCACCTCTGAAGCTGCTTTCTTGCAGAGGTGCTCCGAGGTCAGTTCAGATGGGTCGCTGCACGCGGCCTTGGCTGCCCAGGGCATTCGAAATTTCCGTCAGCTTGCTTTCGCCATAGGCACTCCCAGAGTCGAGCCGTCGGCTCAGCAGTACTCTGACTTGGCTCATTTTGAAGCCACGACGTATGTCATTCAAGTGTTCAAGGAGCAGGCAACTTCAGACAGCGCGGATGTGCAGATCAAGCGCTTACCGCTGCCGGAGCGAACAGCTCGTGCCCTTGACCAGCAGCGTAGGCTGAGTGGAGTCGCCATCACTGGTGAGCTTCAGCCGTCTTACAACTTAGTTGACAAGTGCCAAGTGCAACACCATGCTGGAGTCTGGGGCTTTAGTGTGGTTGCCGCCTTCGGTTTGCAGTAAGAGGGATGCTGAGGTTGCGATCGGGATCACAGAAAAGTCTCCGGTCGTTCATCTTGAGAAAGACGCGTTGAAGTTGACAGCGCCTCAGCCGAAATCCCAGTTATCCAGTCCGCTCAACCTTATGTGGGCTTGGCAAAGACGTGGAATTGCTATGGACCAGTGCGGCTTGCTGTCGTGGGCAGCGCATGAACAGTATGTGCAACGCTTGTTGAATCTGCTGACTGCTCCAGTCCCGAGCCACTGTTCTCCTGTGCGCACTGAACAGCTTATCAGGGCTGACAAAGAAGTGTGGACATTGCTAGCAAGAGAGGTACAGCCGCCTTACAAGCCGCTGCCTACCGGGATTAAGCCATTGGATGCCCCTTTCACGAATATGATGTTTGATCAGCGGATTCAGGTGTGGCTCACGCCGGTCGCAAGTACTAATGCAGCATCTTCTTCAGGTGCAGGTGCAGTGCCCGAGGTGCCAGAGCTTCCTACGCCGCATGTTCCGCAGAAAACCACGACAAAAAAGAAGATTCGCAAGAAGGCGCGGGCTCTCATGCCCGAGTCCTTTAAGAAATGCCCAAGGTTTTCTAAGGGACCCGTGTGTTGGGCGCATAGTGGTGAAGGTTGCACGTCCGAGACCAAAGTGGTGGATGGCTTGCCCCGGTGCTCGAAAGGGTTTCACGTGTGTGTGTGCAGTGTCATAAGGCAAACCACAGTTTTGCCACATGCCGCGCTAAGCCAAAGCCTTGACTATGCACAGATGATGCTTCTTCCGATCCAGGTGAACAACCTGCGGTGAAGAATCCTCGTACAGATACTGGAGGCGGCTCAGGCTCGCTTGGAGCTCCAGTCCGCCCCGCTGCCACAGAAGCGGAGCATCTAAATGATTTGATCGAATCTCTGAGTCAGAAAAATCTGTGCAGTGATGACATCTTGAGGTTGTTCGATGCTTTGCCAAATCCCCTTCTCCTCGTCAGTCGGACGGGAAGGGTCAATCCTTTGCAGCCGGGAGTTTTGTGCA